AACGTCTCTTATTGTGAGTCTTTGATTCTCTTTTGGGACTAACTTGTAAGCACCCACTGAGGAGGTAATTGCACATCTTTTATGACTTGGAGCTCTTCTCTGACAAAAGATCTTTTAGGACCATTGCCCTCATTATCTTCTAACCAGTATAAGATAGGTTGATTTTTTTGTATCAAAGCATTACGAATATAATAAACTTGTGGAGACCAATTCATATCAGTCGCTCTCATTTGTCCACCTTCTAACTCACCAGGTTCAAGCAAATATCTTACTGATGTATTATATGATAGCTTAGACTCATTAAAGCCTATAGGCCCATTTTGTAATTTGGAAGATATAGCAATAACTTGCTTCATTTTTATAGCTTTAGCAGAGGTTATACCAATTAGTCTAGTTACTGAATTATTAAGATCATTGACAATAATAGAAAGATTTTTAATCCAAGCTCTAGATCTTTTGAAAATAGGCAACAATAAATCTGAAGCATTCTGTAATCGAAACAATCTTTTAGCTAAAGTACGATTAAATCTTTCAACAATAGCCTGGCTTTTCTTAGAAGAGCCAATCTTAATTTTGACATTATGTTTTTCTATTAATTCTTTACAGTCTGATTTAAATTCAGAACCAGGATTGATCATTAATAATTTAGGCAAAGTAAGAGGGCAGTTGGAATTACTATAAACTTTCTTAAAGGCTTTAGCAACACTACTAGATATCGTATTTGTTAAAGGAACCACCACTTATATCTAGAAGCAACATCAACTATATATAAACAATATTTATATATTTTGTTATTAATTGTATCATGAGGCATATAAAGAATATTAGCTTGATGGCATTCATTAGGAATCTGTATACTATTAAATGAAGCTCATAGAATAAACTTTGGCTGAGGCTTATGAATCTGATATAAAGCCTGTCTTTCAAGCCATTTTTCTATTTTGGCTAATATAAAATCAAACTCACTACACTCTAAAGCATTAAAAAAATTCTTAACAGTTCTTTGATAACCTGAAGGTTGATAATATATTTTTTGCAATGCAATATATATTTCAAGTTTTCTTACTTTTTCAGAATCAATATATATTAAAAGATGGAGCATAATAAAAGATCAAATAGATTAGTTAAGGCTAAAGAATATTTGCAGACAATACAAGATCGATTTTGCAAATTACAACAGGATCTAGTTTCTAAAGAAGATTATATTAAATATCTTGAAAAAGAAATCTCAATTCAGGATAAGGAGCTAAATCCATTAAGATCAGAAATTTCTAATCTTATAAAGCAGTTAGAAAAAGTATTTAAAGAGTCTGAAACCCGAGAAAATTATATAGCTTATTTAGAAAAGCAGTTAGTATTTTTTCAAAATAAAATAGACAAGCTTACTAAAAAAATACTTGTTTTGTATCCTTTTTCTTAAGAATCGCAAGAAGGTAGGGATATGGCTCAACGTCAAATATCACATGTTGAAAACCAGGCTACAATTCAGAATCATAGAATTACACAGGGGGTTGATAGTATTAAAGATTATTTTCAAAGCCTAATTACAACAGAACCTACATTAAGAGGTATTAAAGATTATCTTGATACAATTATTGATGCTAGAGATAGGCTTGAAAAAATTGTAGTAGATATATATCCACAGGCAAATACCCGAGCAATTTATGCAGAAAACTGAATAACAGATTTGCAAACCCAGTTAATAAATTTGCAAACCCAGATAGCTACACTTCAAAATGACAATAATCTTCTCCAACAAGACTTAACCTGTGAGCAACGAAAACAAAATAATATTGAGACAGACTTGAATTTAATGACTACAACTTATAATAATGAAGCAAAAGAATGCCGTCGCTGGTGGTTCTCATATCGTGATAAAAATAGACAAGTTAGTAAATTAATTCAAGAAAAATTTGCATTGCATCTCTTAAATAAACGAACCCACCAGCAATTACAAAAATGGAAAAATAAATATAAGACTATAGAAAATGATTTATTGCTTGCTGATATTTAGCTTGATCTCAAGTGGGATAAGTGGAAGACTCGAGCCCAAAATTCTGAACAATTAATTAATAATTTGAATTAACAAATTTTACAATTACAAAATAACCCGCCAATTTTAGCAAACATAGCAACAATACAAGAAGTAATGGCTGTAGTAACCCTTTAATTGCACCAATTTTGCAATATATTGGCCAAGAACCTCCAGAAGACTATGTTAATAAAATCAAACAGTTATATAATTGTAGTAGTACAGTAGGTGTTGTGGCAGACTTTAATAATGCTGTTAAAACCCAGATTTTAGCTTCAAAGATAGAAGGAAAATATATACTACCCAATCCATTTAATAATCAAGCAAGAGTTGCAGTCAATACACCGGCATTGTTTTTAGCATAGCTTAATACAGAATATCAAAAAAACAATATCAGTACACAACAAATTACAACTCAAAGATTAACTCAAGAAAAATTTACACCATATGATACTCCAGAAACTTACAAAACAAAAATCAAACCATTTTTATTAGGAGTACCAAATAATGATAACTATATATTAGGAGTGCTTAAAAATCAATTACTAACAGAGCTTTACAATCAAATGACAATAGCACCTCCAGCAGATATTCTGGCATTCTTTACAAGTCTAAAAAATATGTAGTTAGAACAAAAACCTGATACATTTACATATAGGGGAGGTTCTATTTATACCAATAGAATTTCTCAACTTGTATCATTTCAACCAATAATACAATCCCAGTTTCAACAAAACTTTCAAAACCCTTCTCAACCAGTAATTCAACACCAGTTACAGCAAAACTTTCAAACCTCTTCTCAACCAGTAATTCAACCCCAGTTATAGAAAAATATACAACCACCCTTACCCCTGGTTATTAATATCGACTTGAGGAATTTTATATGATAATTTTATGGATGACCAAGCAAGACAGATGGGAATTGGAATAACTCCTACTTTATTAAGCAAATTACCACCTGGAGAAAAAATAATTCGTCCAAAGTCTGAAAAAGCCAAAGCCTTACAAGAAATAATGGATTATGCCAGATTGGGTCTTGATATAGAAGATGAAAGACCTTACGATCCAATGGAAATTGATCTTGCTATTGTTAATATTGCAAGAAGGATTGGAGGAAATACTACTATTCCTACTATGAATATAGTTAATGCATCCCGAACTGTTAGAAAAAAGAAACCACCTGTTAGAAAGAGAGTTATTAAAAAGGTTGTTAGACCCAAAAATAAACGAGTAAACTTGGTTACCTATGAAGAAGCAACAGAAGATCCTAATAATAAGGAAGAGAAAGTTTATAAAGAGATAGTTTATGAAGATGAGGATAATGAAAATGTTGAGTATGTAGAAGTTGAAAATAGACCTGAAGAGATGCTTTGCAATAATTCCACTATAGTTATGAATCTTGTAAAAAAAAAAGTAGTTAAAAAACTATTACTAGATAAGCTAGCTTACAAGAAAGTAATAAACACCTCTACAAATATATCTGAGATTTGTAAAAAAATTTTTCAAGATGAGCTTAGAAATATTCTTAATGAATTAAAAACACTTTTATCTTCTTATAATTTATCACCAGAATTAGCAAGCTCTATGGCTTTAGATAAACCTATAGATATTAATTTGGTATGTCATCTTGCTAATGATCTTACAACTGCTGAATGTAGAATTAATAATATTTTAATTCCCAAAGCAGTATTGGATGGAGGTGCTCAGTGTACTATGATAAGTAAAAAACTAGCAAGGCGTCTTGGATTAAAAATTGATACAACCAATCCTCCATCTCTCGAGGGAGTTGCCACTGATGCCAGCTCATATGGATGGTGTTATAATGTACCGATTACATTTACAAATAGAGCATTAACAAGAGATACAGATTATACAATGATACATGATGTAATAGTTAGTGATTATGATAAATATGCTTTGATTATTGGCACTGACTGGCTTGATCTTGCTGGAGGTAAAGTAGACTATGAAAAGCGTGAATTTAGAGTTGGCAATACATTTGTTCCTATTTTAGTTCACAGATCAAATATTAAAGTAAACTGCATAACTACAGATCAATACTCAAAGGATTATTGCTTTGCAATAAAAAAAAAATAATCAATATATCACAAGTCAAGATAATTCTATATAGAAAAAATATATAAATCAATTCTTTTTAGATATATCAGGATATAACTTACCATCGTTTTCTTCTAACTGATAAATAAGAATATATATAATACCATCTCGAATAAGTTTTTTTAGTGTATGTTCGAATAATTTTGTACTCCAATTAGCCATATCTATTTTAATTTGATTGCATTCTATATCTTTCTGTTGCTTAATAGTTTTTAAGGTTTCTTCAGTAGATTTAATAAATTCTTGACGTAAATTATCTGTAGCTTCTTTGATTCTAGCATTAACCTCTTCTTCAGAGTATAATGGAGCAATATTGGTATAGAGTATTGAGGAAGCTGAGCTTCGAGACTTTGTCTCTGCTTCTATTGTAGGATTATATTGAGATTTTTTATTTCTTTGGTATCTATTAACTTCATGTTTTAAAAATGCCTCTATAATAGGGGTAATACTATTTGCTTCACTTTTTGATAATGGATTTTTTTTTCGAGTTGTAAGCTGATTTCATCCAGCTTTTATTAATGAAGGTGGTAGTTGAGTAAGAAGATATGAATAACTTTTATGAAAAGCCATGTAATTATATGAAATATATTTTTATAAAATATTATAATCTTTCAAAAAATATAAAAAGCATCTATATTTTTATATAAAAATATAAAAACTACCCAACTATTTTGATAACAGTTACCGACTTTATATATTAATAATTTATATAAATAATAAATCAAAGAGTCATAGATATATGGGATACACATTCATTTTGATACCTCTTTGAGAGCTTAATGCTTAAAGCTCTTTGTTCAGCCAACTCTAGAGATATTCCATTTGATACAAAATTTTTATATACTTGTATACACCAATAACTATATAGAAAACTAGTTATTCTATCAGATAATATTCAATGCTTAGTATCTATAGAACAAAGAGCCTTCTTTTCTGATTCAACCAAAGATAATATATGGTCTTTTGAACGAATACCCACATTTTTGGCATAAAATACTTTCTTATCAAAGAGACAGTCCCGATATAGTAGGTCATAGAATCTGCTTCAGTTCGCATAGCTTCTTGTTCTTATAATAATGATCTATCTATCAGATTATCTAGCAAGGACCCTTTTAAAGCTGGCATGTATAAATTTGTGGCCATTTCATTTATATCTTTTTTGCTAACCTCCTTATGCTTAGATTTTGTAGACTTATCTGCTAAGACATAGTGATATGATTTAGCCTGAATATGATAAGATTCTGTAATCACATTGCCTGGAGTCTCATCTTTAAAAAGCCCAATAGTCTTAGAATTATTAAGATTGAAAAGGTCAGGTCACTCAGCCATATCCTTATAGATATCCTTAGTTTCAACTATAAATATGAATGAGTCTGTATCCATATATCCAAGCTGGGCTTTATTACCATATCTTTCTTTTACATACCCATACCAGAAGCGATACATTAAAAGTTTGCTAAGGCCAAGAACTGATACTCCAACAATAATAGGCTTGTTGAGAGTTACACTAGCTTTTCCCATATGTACCCTAACAAGTATATTTCCAAGCTGTCTAGCATATTTAAAAGAGGGTTTACGGATCTGCCTAATAAATTTCTTTTCATCTTGCTCATTATTCATAGCCATGAGCTTGACGTCTAAGTATTTGTGAACATTTTCCATAGTTTTGCCATATATTGAGTTATTCATGAGCTTAAAGAAATCTTTTTCAAAAGCATTCTTAGCACCTTGTCACTTTTCTGTATTAAAAGCTATATAGGGTACGAGCCAGTTAGTTTGATCAAAAGATAAGATTTCTATTACCTCATCTACTATCATACCTAATTTTACATAGTATTGAAGCTCTAAGTAATGAATAACATATTCTTTTTGTGAACCAAGATGAGATACTAATTTTTCTGTTGCTGAGAAATGTCTACCATCCAAGCTATCTACAAGTTCTGTAGTATAGGGGCTTAACATATTTTTATTTATGACCATATTTTCTATAGCTGGAAGTAAATCACTTAAATATTTATGAGTTTTTAAAGAAAAATATGCATTAATCTTTAGAAAATATCCTCTTTTAGCATCTGCTTTGGTATTAAGAATCTTATTGAGATATTTCTTTTGCTCATTTCAATTATCCTCAAGATATTTGTGACTTATCTCCTATTTATAATTTCCAATAGGCAAATATTGACTCATAGCCTATCCATAAAGATTATTGGCATCGACATAGCTTATCCATGTTGTTCGTTTTGATGGGTTAAATTTTTTGCCTATTTTTGGATTATTGGCCTTAAAATAATGCTTACAGGCTATAGCTATACCCCCACGCTTAGCATCTTCTATAAAATCATGCATAGATATATCTGTAAAAAGCTCAATTTTAACACCTGTCATCTTAAGCATAGCATCCCAATCTAATGCAGGTGCTGAAACATAATGACTAGGATCAAGCTCATAATACTGCATACATGTCATTTGGAATTGGGTCCAAATATCTGCAAGACTAAGTATGTCAATCTTAAGATAGAGATTATAATACTCTCCTAGAGTTTTACAACTAAAAGTTTTTCATACTTTTTGTGCATAATGATAGTTATCTTGTGAAATCTTGCCTTTGAGAGTACTATGAAACTCATGGATAGGAGGAAGCTCAGTCTCTAAAAATCTATTCTGTGAATTGATATACTCATAAGGATAAACTCCTTTACGACTTGCTAGTGAAATTTGATCTGAAGAATAGTCTTTAAAGTGTTAACTTGTGATAAGGTGGTTGGTACCCAAATTTTTTGTAAGATTTGCCAAGCTATTATTCATGAATTGCATGCTATTTATATATTTAAGTTGACCTATCTTTATAGATTTATAATGCTCAAATGTTTCAGCTATAACTTTTATCTGATGAGCATTAACAGATTTCCCAACAGATTCACA